GATAGACACGGCGGTTTGGATGCCATGAAATCTTTGTACTTGCACCCGCGTCCTCCATCCTGATTGTTTCGTCTATCTATCAGTGGGTTGGCTTGACAACAATCCCACTGAAGTTTCCTCCTTTCGAATGCCCTTCATTCAATTTGGGCAGATCAACCGGCATTGAAAGTTCTTCACGATTCTGCTGAAGCAGACGTTTAGTTTCCTCCATCTGACAATCCAACATCATTTGAATCATCGCTTGTACCCCAGCCATTGTTATCGGCTCAGGTGCTGCTGCTGCAACAACTACTTGCTCAATCACAGGTGGTTGATTCATGTTTTCGTTCACGTTTCCAGCTCCACTTCTGGTTCTTGCCATTTTTGATCTATACATCGAATAAGGTGAATTTAGATCCTCATTCACGATAGATATTCAAATCATCCTTATCACTCCGAAACATTTACATGCTAGTTCTAATATCGTAGTCGTACGCTTAGAATCCTAAACACATAAGGTTTCCAGATCCGGTCGGCAACAGACCACAGATCCGAACAAATAACATCATATATGGCAAACATATAACATTTAGCATATAAAAGCATTTTAGGCATCATTCCTAAAATATACTAGTGCTTGCGTCAATTTAGGTGTACTACCTAACATATTTTAGACACACTCCTCACAATCATTACTTAGCATTTAAGTTTAAGTCTAGAAATTTCCTACAAATTCCTAGTTCGCTTAAACTAATGCTCTGATACCAACTGTGACACCCCCATTTTATCGGCCAGAAAAGACCGATTTTGTTTATGCTTTTTAAATTAAAATCAGAGTAATCTTTCAAAAGGTGTTGCAGAATTTGTCCCCAAAACAAAATATGATAAAATTTTATCAAAGCATTTCTTAAAGAAATGTATTTTCATTATATTATAAAACCTTGGGATGTCATGTTCCGATACAGATCAAAAGCATAAATAGTACAATATAGGCCTTATAACATTTATTTACATCTACTGGCCTATAATCCAAAATCCCTCGTCACCGTCCAACGATGCTCTTGTTCCACTACCTGTAATATAGAAAACTGAGTGGGTCAGGCTTGGGAGCATGGTGAGCATATAGGGTTTTCAACCCACAATAAATAAATTTATTATGTTTAAACATCAAACAATCAACCCAATTTCCCATCCCCATTATCCTCTTTATTATCCCACCTTATCGATCCTCACAATGACACGATCTATACTCTCAGATCTAAAATTAACCTCTTTACCTAATCCATACTCTCGGATCTAAAATTAACCTCTTTACCTAATCCATACTCCCGGATCGGGTATGTCTAATCCATACTCCCGGATCAATAACTGTACCCATACCATACTCTCAGACTAGGGACAATTAACTATGTCTTAATCCATACTCCCGGATTAATAACAAATAACTATATCTTAATCCATACTCCCGGATTAATAACAAATAATCATGTCTTAATCCATACTCCCGGATTAATAACAAATAATTACGTCTTAATCCATACTCCCGAATTAATAACAAATAACTTATGTCCTATCCATACTCTCGGACTAAGGACAATTGACTAAGTCTAATCCATACTCTCGAAAAACACCTACATGTTACGAGTCTATTAACGTTCCACTGAACTGTCTAGAAAAGTCCGTGGTCGTTATCTATATTCTGCTAGATGACTGGAACATCGTCAACATCGAGAACTCTCATTATTTTATTTCATCATACATCAACTATTTCATCTACTCATGTTTTACCCAACATATTTGTAGATAAAAATACATATATAGTTTAAAACTTGTATAAAACATCTATTCAACACCATTTCAAATAAACAAACAACATATATATACACATAACACGTATTTCATATAAAATACTTCATATCTATGTATAAGATGAAAGTGACTATACACTCACTTGGCTAGTTAGTGAAAACTAACTATTGTCATGGCTTCAACCTCAACACTGCTTGTCAACTTATTATCTTGCCGAAAATCTCGAATATGTGAAGTGCTATGCTAAAAAAATAATTTCTTATTTTTCTTCGAAGGCTTTCGTTGATATTTTTTTTATGATTGAAAATGGTATAACATCTTCCTATTTATACTAAAATATAAACCGCCTCTTAAAAGGCTCCATACAATTCTTAAACGTTGGTCATTTATCTAAATTACACGTATAGCGTTAATAATCAATTGGAGGGTATGGATCTCTTAATTTGATGGACACGTATCACGTCCAATTCCCCCCACAAATTGCATTCCTTTATCTATATGGTGCATGTATCATTTCCTTTTATTTTAATATATCTCTTATATTGGCAAATAGTATGTACAAGTTATTTATGAGGTTTCTCTCTAGTTATATTTATTTGGATGTAAAATATTCATAAATAATTGTTTAGAGTAATATCATATAAAACGTCTATGGTATCGCAATTACATAAGGTGGACTCTTTTTATATTATATATATATATATATATATATATATATATATATATATATATATATATATATGTAATGTACAAATATATCATATAATTTCAAATTAGTATTATCCTTTTATGTATATGTAATGAATATTATTTTATAACTATTTAAATTTAATAATCGATAACTGACGTCGTAAAATACATCTAATAATTATCATCGAAGAACGGGTGTAATACAATAATCTCGTTTCACTATTTGGGTTCACCCTTAAATGTATTTATATAACCCGTAACGTGTAAGATGAACAATAATCATATTCAAGGATTTTAATTATTCAATAAAATGAATATTTATTAATATTGCCCCCTTAACGTTCAGCTGAAACTGACGGGCGTTACAACCAAGGGCAAAAAGTCATGTATCGTAATTTCACTATTTACGTTGCGCCGTGTCGTGCCGGTTTTGCCGAAAAACTTCGACGGGCCATAACTTCTTTGTTATAACTCGGATTTCGGCGTTCTTTATATGTACGGAACTCTTGTAACATATACTACCACTTGGAAAAGATTAATCCTTCTAAATAATCTTCCATAAAAAACTAATTTTTGATGCTTATTGTCTCTAAATTCACTAGCCCGGATCTGCGGGCGTTACAGGATTGCAGTGCACACACCTATGTTTTCCGTAATGAATGATTTTGGGATGAAATATGATAAATGTTATACTTAAAGATGATTTGAAATGATTGAAATAAATGGTATCAATGTTTTGGTTATATCAAAAATGAAATGTTTACCCTTGATTTTTGGGTCGTTACATTAACCCTCAAAATTGAACTACTCTAAATTAATTGAGGAGGTTTGAGGTCAACGGCTTTTGTCGACACCTTTGAGGGTAAGTATAAATTTCTAAAATGAATAATATATCTTTCCTTGTTCTGAAATGAATAATATATATATTTCCTTACTTATTTTTCTTATTTTAAATAAGAAAAAGATAATCCCCCCTCCCCCCTTTTTATTTCTTTTGCCACTATCATCTTTCTCCTCCGTTCCTAGCACCACTTTACACCAATGACTCCTTCCTGATCCACCCCATCCACCGAATCCTATTTATAGTGGCACGAATCATTGACACGCACCAATATCATCATCTATCTACCAAATCCTATTTACAGTACCCCTTTCTTTCAATAGAAACTATCTCTAATAATAACTTTAATCTTCGTAAAAAAACCATTTCATCTATTTACAAGTCCCCTTTCATACTTTTCACGCCATTCAAATCCAAAAGAATTACTTGGAAACCAAAAGCTAAACCTGAAAATGTCCTAAAATTAAACAAATTGGAAGCAATTTCTAGTCATATGTGAACAAATATATATGTTATATTCTTCTAGTTTTGGTTTCTTAGTCAAAAATTTAAGATCACAAACTATTTGGCCAGAGAATCCACTCAATTGTGGTCTCACTTTTCAAATTTATTTTCACCTGAAAAAAACTTTGTATTTTTTCTGCAAAAGCCCTCAACTTTGAACTTTTTTTTTCTATAAAAATTGTCAACCTTTCAAATGTTTCCAAATAAACCCTCAAGTTTTTTAGGTTTTCTCGAAAAAACCCTCCCATTTTACAATTTGTCTTAGCAACCAATGATTAAAATGGCCAAATCAGGAAAAATAAAAAAATACAAGGTTTTGTCATGCAAAAAATAAATTTAAGGTTTAATCCAGAAAAAACACAAAAATATAAGGTATTTTTTTAAATTATCCGTACAATAAAAATCAATTATAATTTAGTCCTAAAATAAAAACTTAACTAAATTCTTTTTTTCACATTCTATTTATTATAAATCAAAATTGGTTAATTGTAGAAATATTAACAAATCAATCCAACCAACCATTAAACTTTCATGTTCGAGAACATGAACAACAAGAGACACGTATGACATCAACGCACACGACGACTGACGGAAAAGTCTGAAAATTTACATAATACACCATGTCTACCACCATTAGTTTCATGTTCTAATTTTGCCGCCTTCTTTTTAAGTTGGGATCCATATTTTTTAGAATCAATTTGTTTTGGTTCTTCTGAGCTTTTACAAATTTTTTTATTTTCATTCAAGATTATGAATTCCTACCAAGTGTTTAGTGATTTGTTCCTTTTAACACCACAATTTTTATTGAATGCTCAAGCATGTCAACTCTTCTTGTTGGAAGCGCTTTTATGAATTCTTGTAATATTTTTGTTTTTTAAGGTAAAAGCTACATATAGTATGATCATATTAACTGGTTTATGTCATCCATAGTCATAAGCATGCCCTTTTGGAAAATCTTTTATTCTACAAATTGTTTATTTACCAACTAAGATTATATGTAAGATTTATAAATGGAAATAACCAATAAATAGCCATTAACTCAAAATTAAATGAAAATTTTATATTTTAAAATGAGCATTAAATTATCATTAATTGAAAATCTACATTTGCTTTGGAGGAATATGACTGATTTCTATAAATTCGATTAATTAGTCTTTGCATTTCACAACAAAAATCCATCTAAGGAAAATAGATAAAGAAAATGATGAATGCTACCTTCAGAATCGTCTTTTTCGTTATATTGGTGCTCACTACTGGTTATTCTCTCCATATTTTCTCTCAAATTATTTTGAGGTTTAGTATATGTTTCATAAACTTATGAAGAATGCAAAATAATCATTATGTTTTTTTCCTGTTATTGTAGCTTCAGGAGTTCAATATGATAAATTGGAAAAAAATAACATCGTAGATAGGAGAAACCACATTCCTAAAGAAATGTTGGACACAATTGTGGTAAAAATATGTCAGAAGACTTCAGATTGTAATGGCTTCAATTGTCCACCTAACTATGTTGCAACTTGTTTTGATCTATATTGTGTATGCACCAAACAATAACTAATCTAATAGTTGATGAGAAATGTAATAAGGTGTTGCTTTTATGTAATGAAATTCAAATCATTTTACGTGTGTTTCAAAATATGGAAAATGTATGGATTAGTTATGTTCTTCTTTGCTTAATAAAAAGGCAAAAGATCATAGTTTTCTATATAAATCAATTTACTTCTATAATGACATTTTGACACTAATTTTGAAAATCCTTTTGTGGAAATGATAACATTTTGATTTTTAGTTATTTTCCATGAAGATCTGTAACAATTGGTAAAAAAAAAATAGGAACGATCGTACGATGCTATGCTTTGATTATTAAGCAATATGAGCATTTTATCAAAAATGGTTGAAGGAATTTAACCTGTTTTATTTAGATAAGTTCTTGTGAAATATAAAACAAGTAACTAATGATAAATTTCGTTACGACGTATGACTACGAACCATGACCAGTTTGTGAAAATTTGCATATAATGTCATTTGAACGCAACAAACTTAATTTCTGTATCAACATGTCTTCAGTTGATGAATAAGTTAAGTTCTATGTAAAACTTGTGCTTAATAGTTGTGAAGGATCTAAATTTGACAAATATACGAACCAAAGTGACGAAACGTTTTTTAACGATATGGTTAACCGGTTAAATGTCACAAAATTATACCTTGGTCAATAAATTTTATATTTAAATAAATAAAAATATAAAATGAATTATTATAAGGCATAATTAAAATGTATTTAAGTGTTTTTGAATAAAAAGAATAAAACATAAACATTTAAGTTCAAATACACAAAAACTACATTGTTATTTTATACGAAGTATACATGTATGTATTTGTACTTAGTATTATTATCTAGTGGATGACTAGTTATGGGTTATGACTTAAAGTGATTTCATGTAAGGAATATGGTGTCTAAATCAATTAAGATAAAAAAAATGGTTGAGAGAAGTGCCAACTTAACTATTAAGTGCTTAATCACTTAAGACATTTTATTAAGAATGCTTCTTAATCCCTCTTCTAATTTTCGAGATTAAGACCTTCCCTCTCCATAACTAGAACTTCGAACAAACTAACTAACTAGTAGTTAGTTAGTTAACTAACCCTTTCTCTACGCAACCACCCAAGCAAGTGGCTAGGCAAGATCACATCACATAACTTCCCATCCCATCACAAGCTAGTCTAGGTTTTATCCCCTTATCCTCTTCCACTCTTTCCTCCTTCATATCCACGAAATTTCCTCTTCATTTTACCCTAATTTGACCAGCCAATACTCCAGGGAATTACTCTCAACCTTCATCTCATTTTCAACCACAAGAACTTCCTTCCAAAGCTAATAAAATCGTGAACTAAAGGGCTGCTGTCCCTTTTGTGTTTCAGCCACCATTTCACCCATCTACACCTTCCTTTTGCTTGATATTCTTACCACCAAATACCCCTGGAAGTTAGTTGTTCCACTCCAAATTTGAGATTCAAAACAGTGAGTAAACTATCTTTTTTTTACCCTTTTGCTGTGAAGATTTCGTGAAAGCAACATAGCCAAAATAGTGGCTGTTTTGGAGCATCAAACAAGCACCCAAAAATTCTTCATCTTTCAGCCCGTTTTCGAGATTTAAAGTATACCATATGTAGCTACTTTCAAACACTTAAAACCCCTGAGAAAGTTACCATTTTCCTCTCAAAAAGCTTGTGTTATTCCACCACCTTTTGGCAACATACTTTTGATCCAAGTTGAAGCTAGGTATATTCTTGATTTCTACTCTTTCTTTTTATCATCAAACCCACTGATTTTAAATGATTTTAGACATGATAAAATTCTAACATACATGTAAATATATGTCTTTTTGTGTTAATACATCCAAAAGAATACTCGAATCACAAACTTGAGTGGAACCGGAAACCGCACGAACCATTCTCAACCCGAATAACTCTACGCGACAAAAGTGAGTTTTCTACGGCCCCTATTTTATGTTTTACAAGTTTTGGGGGAGAATACACACTAAAAAAATTATAGTTGAAAGATTTAAAGGTTTTGTTAACTAAAAATGCAAGTTATGTCACTAAACATATCTAAGCTTAAATTTCAGCTTTTCACAAAAAAGTTGTGGTCTCTTCTCCGACTGTTTTGCCCTTCATAAACTCAATGGATTTCAAAACTGTACAATATGCTAATAGTTAAGGTTTATACCTTTCCAAGGACTACTCGCACGCGTTCATACGATTTTGCCACAATTTATAATGAGTTTTACAAAATTGCCTATCATTTCGAAACATTTTCGGACCAGTCTGTACAAATGAACATTTTCACTGAGGTTAGGAACCAATTAAGGTCTGGGTAAAAATTATGGACAACGTAGACTCATTTTTTAAGCTTTGAGAATTTACGGATCCAGATTTCGACTTACGATGATTTTTCTATGATTTTCTAAATACATGGACAAAATTGCCCGTTTGATTTATCTTGCTGTTTGGTGTTTCAAATGCATATACAAAGTTTTGTTGTAAATGAGAAATACACAAATAATGATATTGTTTACATCACACATACTTTAATAGTTACAAAAGTGTAAATTATAACAAGTATTTCTAATATGATCATGTTGACAACCTCATACGATAATATGATTTAGACTATGTCGATTTTGGTCACTCACAGCCGGGGTGCTGTATAAACTTTGTTATTCACTTACAATCAGAGTACTGTCTAAACAAATATATGGTCACTTACAGTCGGAGTACTGTCTAAACAAATATATGGTCACTTACAGTCGGAGTGCAATCTAAACAAATATATGGTCACTTACAGTCGGAGTACTGTCTAAACAAATATATGGTCACTTACAGTCGGAGTATTGTCTAAACAAATATGTGGTCACTTATAGTCGGAGTACTGTCTAAACAAATATATGGTCACTTACAGTCGACGTACTGTTTAAACTCGTATAGGGACACATACGAGTGTTGTCCCGTTAGAACTTTGGTAGCTTTACATTTTTAAGCATTACAACAAAAAGTCTTTAAATCCAAACAATCGGGAATTATAACAAAGTCTCGAAAATAAATATACTAAGACACATTGGGATGAGGCTGTATGTAGTATGGATATTGTTTGTAGATTGTTAAAACGATTGTTAGTGTCTATCTATACAAACACCAAATATTTTGCTTCTCAAAAATATGTTAAAATTTACTTTTATTGTAAGTAAGTAACATGGATACTCGTACTAGATTTCAAGTATCGGTTCTCACACGAAACATATCGGTAACATTGTTGACCATGTTTTGCACAACTTATTCGTTAAACATCCTACATTTTATAAAGATTTCATGTTATAAAACTTACGGAGTCTAAACCTGTGGAACTCACCAACAATTTTTGTTGACGTATTTTAAAAATGTGTATTCTCAGGTAACTAAGGAGCAGGAGGTAGGACATCGATTCTAAGGAAACTATAGTTCCTTTCTTTTGGTAAAAATCTTGAACTGTTTTTTATTTATTGTTGTGTGTTTAAACTATGAATATGTAATTTCAATTCCAACACTTTAAGGTTTGTAATATATTCATTTGAATATATTAAGTGTTCGATATATATGGCTGACTGTGATCAAATTGTATAACTTCACAACCCCGGTGATTTCCGCCGTCGGTTGGGGTGTGACAAGATCTCTCTCATTAACATCAAATATTTACAAATTACAATATATATTAGGCGGTACCCTACAACATATACAAGCTTTTCAATATCATTATTTAAAAGTAAATGTTATAAATTGTGAATAGGTTTACTATATAAAAATCATAATAATAACCACTTCATTTTAAATTTCATATATTGTTAGATGTATTGATGTATTAAGTATATTACTATTATTGCTAAGTATTTCTTAAAATTTATTTAATATTACATATGTTTAAAAAACAACAAATTAGATATAAATATTAAAAGGTTTTTGGCCTAGCGATATTAAGAGTAGATAGACAGATGTTCTTGAGCCAAATATTGATGATTCAAGTCTTGATGCGGATGAAATGAATCGATTTAAGAGTAGAGTAGTGGATGCTTGTTTAAGAAGTTAAAAAAACATAATATAAAAATAAAAATGTATTGGTTATTTAAAACAAGCTTTAAAAATAATTATTAAATAGTGTGATATTACATTCACTTTGTGGGGGGTGTAATTCAATGTCGTGTTAATTCTCACACAACGGGTAAAACAAACATGACGTTCCAAAATATCAATAGAAAATGACAGCACGTATCAATTGACAATCTTAATTACGAAAAATACAATTATTTAGGAGGACCAAACCTGTCAACATACAAAAGTTTTGTTATAGGCAAAAACTTAAACCCTAAAACTATTCTATTGCTAAGTTCGTTTGGTTTTAATATATATATATATATATATATATATATATATATATATATATATATATATTTTCAAGTATTCCAACTAATTATTATGTGGATGTAGGAATCAATGTGAGCTAATCATTTCAAAACCTAAATAAGGTAAATTTTTAATGTTATCTATTAATTAATTTTAGTAATTAAATAAATATTTAATTAATACCTTTAATTTAGGAAGATAGTTTAAGAATTAAAAACCCTAACCGACCATACAAAACACATATCTCGTTCTTCTTCCTGCGCCTCACACCTCACCGTCGTTCTCTCTCTCTTTTTCTTGTTCCAAAAGTCTCGATTTGCTTCAAATCAATGGAACAACAAAAGTCGAGATTTGGTTTTTCTACATTCGAATTGCCACATGATGAATGTTAGACGGATTTCGACTTCCGAATAATTTTATTCGCTAAAGCGAAGAATGTTATTTGTTGGAGTGGAAAGCAATTCAAGGTAAGAAAACAATTTATTCTGTTGCAATCTTAATTCCATCAATTTTATGTGTAATTACAATTTTATGTTTAATTACAAAATGTCATCGAAAACATAAATTAATCTGTCATTTGACCTTAATTCCATTTAGTCCTTATGCTTGTTCCTCAATCCTATTTTCTATTTATTTGTAGTTGTTTACATTGAGCT